TGTTGGATTTTTAGATAGTTTTTTAATATAGTTTTTGATATATGTTAGATTAAAATGTATTATCTATTACTAGTTTATTTAATTTCATGTTAGATTTATTTAATTTGATTTACTAATTATATATTCTATCTCTCTATATATATCTAGAGAGAGATTCTATATGTATACGTATGTACTTAATTATTTCTATATGTATATATACATGTACTTATTTTCATGTGTTGAGAGAGAGAAAATTGTATCTAGAGAGACATTCTATGTGTTATCACATGCATATCTAAAGATATAGACATATGCAATTATTTCTATGTGTTGAGAGAGAGAGAAAATATATTGTATCATTCTATGTGTATATATATACATGTACTTATTTCCATGTTTTTGGATCGAAAATGTTTTTGATTCGATTCCAAAGCCTATACCTTATTATTGTTTATCCTTATGAAATATTATGTGTTATTATATTTAATTGGATTTAGTAATTCTATATGTGTTATCACATTTACTTATGTTATGTACCATAGTAATTCTATCTATGTGTTATCTTGAAGATACAAATGGCTGCTCTGGATGATGACATAATGGCGGATATTATCAACGCCGGCACCAATGTGGATGTAGATGACATGAGTCAGTACTTTGCTGATTATGAGGATATCCTGAATATGTCGGTGGTTGAAGATCAACAAATTGTCGCGCAAGAAAATACTGGCGAGGTATATTCGATTATCTATCATCTCTTATAGATGCATGCGTACGTATATTTGTTGTTAATCGTTGTGTTTCTACTCATGTAGCCAGTCTCTGGATCTACATCAACCACCGACAAAAGTAGGAAAGTCCGAGGGCCGAAAAAGCCATTAGAGGGCCGTTTCATAATATCGTAATTCGACAATCGACACCGCAAACCATTGGGACCACATGCTCGGACATATGTCAATCAATGTGGGTTCATTGTAAGGGATAGGATCCCGCTTAGTACTGTGAATGGAAGCGTAAGATATCCACTCCTAATGTTAGTTTTGTATCTGATCGTGACAAGAACCTAGCTTGGAGAGATATCACTCAGCATTTCACATTACAAGCAGATGATGCTTTGAAGGAGCTAGTGAGGGATTGGACAATGACGAAGATGGCAACATTGTTCCAGAGTTGGAAGAAGACATTGTATAAAAAGTTTATCTTGAAGAATGCTACGCGGATTTCAATGCTAAGGCGTTTGTCAAGTTGAGTCCCATTGGGATGCCTTCAGAGAATACAAGACATCTCAAGATAGTGAGGAACGTGTGATGAGGAATCGGCGAGAATGCCCGGCGGAAGAAATACCATCATCGCATGGGATCGGTGGTTATAGGAGTGCTATTCCCAAGTGGCGAAACCTAGAAGCGAGATTACCGCCAAGGAATCATACCTGAAATAATAGAGAAGAACTGGCCTCAACGCCGCCAAGAATTGGTTCTACGCTCATGGGGAAGCCTAGACCTGACATAATCGGCAAGCTAATTTTCGCCAAAAAATTGAGAGAGCAACACGAGACTAGCTCGTGCTAGGGAAGAAGCTGATAGTGGTGTTTTCAAGCCCAACAAAGAGAAGGATGAATTGACATATGCCCTAGAGAATCCCAAACACGGTGGTCGAACAAGAGGCTATGGGGCGGTTCCGTGGATACACGCATTCCCAACAAACAAGGATACCTACAGAAGCCGCTAGAGAAAGAAGGATGAGAAGGCAGAACGAATCAGTGCATTGGAGCAATTTGTTGATGAGTCACGACAAGCATTGCTTGAATCACGTGAATGAGAAAAATCTCTTGAGGCAAGAATGCAGGAGGAGATCAAGAGGCAAGTGCAGCTAGCAATGAGTCAAATGCAATCACAATCAATGCCGGGAGTCACCATTAGCCCCATTGGTCAGATGAAAAGCAGTTGTGCTTCTACGGAGCTGCCAGTTATTCAAGACGACGCTGGGTTGCGCTTCCCTGTTGATGACATTACTGAGCCTCTAACAACATGTGAGCTGCACATTCTAGATGGTAATAATGCATCAATCATGGTGGCTGTCGGGGTTGTATCTCCAATAGACCGAACGAAGACACCAAGAATCCATGGGTCAGTTATTCAACCTGGATATACTAGCGTCTCGATCGATAGAGTGCTCAAAGGTTACAGCAATGTTCCTATTGACATTGAAGGCGGTGATGGGGAGAAGACACTAGGAGAAGCGGAGAAGACATTTATTCAATGGCGCAAACGCTTCATCATCATTCCTGGGGTGCCACCGCTTCCCCTACCTCACCCTAGGTACGAATGAAAGTGAATGAAATATTATTTTCCATTAATTTTCTATTGGCTTCAAAAATAATTGACACACAACTTGTTTTTGTAGCAGGGTCTCCCCCCAGCCTAGCCTAATCATTCATTCCCCATCTCATCACAACATCGCGGGGGGCGAGACGACTTCATCCCCACGGCGATCGCCAACTCCTACACCGGCCCCATCGCCTCCACAATGATCTCCATCTCCTACACCAGCCCCACTGCCTCCACAACGATCTCCAACACCTCCACGCCAGTCTCCACCAACACCGGCCTCATCGCCTCCACGCCGGTCTCCAACACCGCCCCCACCCCCTCCACAGCGACGCACTACAAAGACGTCTAAGGTTCCGGCGGCAAAGAAGACCCCGAGAAAAAGAGTTATTTCTCAAGAAATACTTCCTGAAAAGACTGATGAGCAAATAGCAGCTGAAGAAGACAAAAAAGTGAAAGATTTTTTTATAGATATCAAAAACAAGAGTCAAGCAAAGCTTAAGGAGAAGCCATACTTTTACATACCACAAGATGTGCTGAGGCAGAAGGTCGATGCTCACAAGAAAAAGATGATTGAACTTCGTAAGCCTTCGCCACTATTAGACTATGACCGCTCCCTCGTGAAGTCACATGATGCAGATAAGAAAAGGAAAAGAGCATCAGGGAAGGATGTCCCACAGCTCGGACAACAGAAGCAACCAATGCAAAATCTTGTTGTTGCTAATGAATATGGTTCCAACATAGAAGTCTATCGACTAGACAACTCTGGAGAAGTGTCGGTTCAAGCCCTTAATGCTTTTTTTGAAGATACTGGTTTAACCTTGGATCAATTGACAGGCAAAGCTCCAATCCAGAACCTGGAAGTTGATACCTGGAAGACTTATAATATGGCAAAAGTCTGTACAACCCTGCGGCTCTGAATGAATTGGGTACGCAAATGTACTTGCTCAACAAGTGGTACATGCAGGCATGTGGCAGGGGTGAGCAGTGGATCTTTGTCAGATTTAGAGACCATCATTACTTCTGTGGTGATGACATCTTACATATTAGTTTCGAAGAATTGCATCAACTATACCACTTGGACGCTCTGGACAAATCAATCATTAGCTCCTTTTGTTTGTAAGTGATTCTTACTTTTATTTAATAAACTCACTTCCATGCGTACGTGTATATAATTATCCTCACATGTAACTTATATTTATATACAGATTCTAGATGTCAGAGCTCCAAAGAATACAAGACACCAGTGTTGGCTTCATTGATCCTTATATCGTATTCAAAACCGGTATTATTATCAAGGAGTGGTGGGTATCTGAAGCACTGGAGAATATCATGATGTTCTTCGTGAAGCAGCACGACAAGACAACAATACTTTTCCCGTACAACTTTGAGTAAGTGTTAATAATAATGTAGTCTACACATTTTATGTAATATCAATACAACTTATATGCATGTACGTGTGTGTATAAATCAATGCAGTTTTCACTGGATACTCATTGTCATTGAGTTAAACTCAAGTCGGTTAGTAATCTTTGACTCGTTGAGAAAAGAGCGGGCACTATACCAAGATATGATAGATATTATTCAGGGGTAATTTCGATCTCTCGCGCACAACTATTATTGAATAGACTTTGCCATAATTTATTAACGATCGTACATTATTGGTCGCACAGGGTTTGGAAAGAGTTTATTCGGCAACATCGCAAGGATTGCAAGGCACCACTTAATGTAGTTGAAATACAAGTAAGTTGTAATATATACACTTCCCCACGTGTTTAATTACTATATCGTACTTCAATTTACGTGTGAGATGATGAGAAAAATCTTCTTCTCGTACAGTGATATTTGCGGCAGCAACCAGGTAATAACTTGTGTGGATACTACGTTTGTGAATTTATCACTGCGCACATAAGAAGAACTCCTAAAGATGTCCTCAGAGTACGTATATATCGAATTTTTATTTATTTTTAAATGAATATATATATATATATGTATTAATACTTTTCCTTTTATTTCAAATGCAAGACTGAATGGTTGAAACGAAGGGTCATGCAAAAAGACCATCTGAAAGCAGTTCAAGAGTCAATAGCAGGATTTCTTCTAGAAAAAGTGCTAAATCCCAACGGCGAGTTCTACTTTGATCCTAAGGAATAAATGGTGTAAATTAAATGTTTATTGATATCGTTATTTTTGAGAACAAGATTATGAAAGTGTTGTATATATACATATATATATCTATAATATATATAGGTTCATACTTTATTCGAATATAATAATGCTTGAGATGAGAATTAGATGTAATTATATGCGTGCGTGTATTTATATTACCAGCGTAGAATACGTACATAAAAACATATTATATATTAAACAAATACGTGTAACTGAACTGAAAACAAATTAAACAAAAAAAAAGAAAAATAAAAGGAACCTTTAGTTCCGGTTGGGGTTACCAACCGGGACTAAAGGGTGCGGCCACGTTTGCTCGGCTAGAGGGCCTTTAGTCCCGGCTTGATGACCTGGGACTAAAGGTGGCACCTTTAGTCCCGGGATCGTTGTCCCGGTGCGGTAACCGGGACTAAAGGCCGTTACCGCCCGGGACAACAAGTCCATTCTGTAGTAGTGTTGGGCGCCAGCCGACCAACACCAAGTTGTCAAGCAACAAGACAGTGAGGAGGATTCGTGTTCGTGGAGGTAATGTGAAGTGGAGGGCTCTTCGCCTGGATACTGGTAACTACTCATGGGGAAGTGAAGCTGTTACCCGCAAGACCCGTATCCTCGATGTGGTCTACAATGCATCAAACAATGAGCTCGTGAGGACTCAAACCCTTGTGAAGAATGCCATTGTGCAAGTTGATGCTGCCAAATTCAAGCAGTGGTACCTCACTCACTATGGAGTTGACATCGGTAGGAAGAAAAAGGCTCCTGCTGCAAAGAAGGAATCTGCTGAGGTATTATTTCTTGCAACACAGCGTCTCACTATTTACTATTAAATGTTTTTAATAAGGGATTGGCTTCATAGTTCATACATCATGTTTTGTAGCTAGCAAATATCAGCTCTTTCTGTTCTCTCTTTTAAAGACAACTGACTCACCTCATTCTTGTATGTTTATATTGTCTACTCATGTGCCTTACAGATTCTTAGAGAACTCTTCTTTTCTTATCCACATTTCACATTTGAATTGCATGTTTTTGCACTATGAGTTTTAGATTTATGTATGGAAAATGTTAAATTTGATTGTTTTTATTAATATATTTTGCTTGAAGTATTTCCATAAACCAGAGATCTATAGTCAATTAGTTTTCTATCTTTAGTGTCTGTTATGTTTCCTCTGGTGGATCACTTATTGTTTGAGATTCATTCATCCAGGGACAAGAGGGTGAGGCAGCAGCTGAGGAAACAAAGAAGAGCAACCATGTCAAGAGGAAGCTTAAGGAGCGTCAGAAGGGATGTGAGCTTGACGCTCACATTGAAGAGCAATTTGGCAGTGGAAGCTTGCTGGCGTGCATTTCTTCCCGCCCTAGACAGTGTGGCCCGAGCTGATGGGTAAGAAATAATGGACTTCCACCAGACTTTCTTTGTTTTTGTTAGAGCAGCTTATCTGTTTGTGTACCATTTAACTTTTGTAGCTTAATGTTTGTTTATACTCTTTATGTTACAATCACTGTGAGTCTAGACATTTTAGATATGTTGGTAGCTGTCACAAATTTATCCTTCTAGGCTTCAAGTAGAATGGAAGTTGTCCCCTTATTTTCACTCATATCTTATATTGCACGCAACTCCTTACAATACACTTTTCTTTTTTGTATAACAGGTACATCCTTGAGGGTAAAGAGCTTGAGTTCTACATGAAGAAGCTTCAGCGCAAGAAGGGCAAGGGCGCTGCAGCTTAGAGCATTCTCATGGATGGTCCTCCGCGGAAATGTGTGGCGTATTAAATATTACTCTGGCTTTTTTTGTTAGTCGTCTCAAGTTCAGAATGCCTATGTCATGTTTTGCAGACCTGATGAGAACACTGTTTTTCGAAAATGAATCAACTCTATCTAGCTCCTAAGAATTGAGATTTTCCTTCTATATGAATAACAGTGGATTTGTCAAATTATTCAAATTGTATTTATATCTATATCTACAGTACAGTTTTGCCGATAGTTTAGTTGTTGGACAGGGCATGATTCACAAAATACCTTGAAAATGGTTTCGCCAACACACAAACTGTTGGCTTAGGTCTTAACTGTCGGCAAAGGCTTAACTGTCGGTAAAGGTTTCAACTGTCGGCGTAGGTCCACCATTTGGCAACACAAAAAGTGTCGGTGATTCCTTTAACTGTCGGTGAAAGTTTCGCCGACGGCTTCTAGCGCGACTGTTTCTAAACTGTTGGCAAAACCTTTCACGAGAGGTTATCTGTCCGGAAAGGTACCCTTTGTCCACTATAAAAAGTGTCAGCAAAGGTATGTTGTGTTATAGTGATATCAGAAATATGATGAATAACCTAATTATCTAAATTAATTATGTCTAAGGAACCCAAATCAATCTTTACTGTTTGGTATTCATTTGTTTGTATAATATTTAGTGAATGCAAGTATCTGTGTATGTCATATATGAATGAGGCTTGTTGGTACTTGCGATTTGTTGGCAGATTTAAATCTTAAGCTATACTTTGTTTTGGGGAAGATTTATTCTTTTGCAATATGCCGTTGAAGTAGTTAACCAATGAACGAAGTATCTCATATGTACGTTGCATGGCTGAAGGCTCTAGTTTGGTTTCAGATAATTGATGAAACCCTAGGTACTAACATTTGGCTCTAAGTGAATATGAGATAGGTTGGTATACATCAAGCATTGGAGCAAATGAATGATGATCATGATGAAGGTGATGGCCATGGTGATGATCAAGTGCTCATGTCTAGAAAAGAAGAAAGAGAAAAACAAAATGGCTCAAGGCAAAGTCATATTTGATAGGAGCGTTTTGTTTTGGCACTCAAGACACCTAGGGGGTGTGACTGTATTTATGATAGATAGCCATACTACTAGGAGGGGTGAAACTCATTATGAAATATGGTTATCAAAGTGCCACTGAATGTTCTAACTCATTGCATATGCATTTAGATTCTAGTGAGTGCTAACACCCTTAGAAATGCCTTATGAAAATGCTAATACAGTGCAGAATGGTGATACACTTGGTGGTTATCACTTAGGAGCAAGGGTATCAAAGTTGGAGATGAAAAGGTGGAGTTGCGAAGGGACTTGACTCTGCTTTGGCAGTGACCGATCATCTCATGTAGAGAAGGCACGGGTCTCGGTCTACGATCGGACTCCAACTTGGGGAGCGACCAGACTGAGGCAAGTTACTGTTTCATCGTCCGGTCCCTGTGTTGTGGTAGTGTGCAGCGTTGGAAGCTAATGCAGAGAAGGACCAGACTCTGCATACTTTCTGCACTCAACCAAACTCCAGGTGAGCGCAAGTCTAGCCATAGAGTGTCGCATCTGGTCACTGGCTCAGGCAGGCGCATGAGCGGACGTAGCGTGGGCGCGTCCGGACACTGTTCGTCATGTCCGGTATTAACTTAACGGACGTGCGCGAGGGCAACTAGCCATTGGAATCGAACATGCGAGGTTGAACCGAGGGACACGTGGTCGGCATCCGTGGATTGGACCCTGTCGACCGGACTTTGGCAGAGTCCGGTCAGAGAGTTTGATCACCTCGTAGACTGTCGAATGAGGGGCATAACGGCTCTATTCCTTTGGGCACCTATTTAAGGTGCTTGGCTGGCTTGGACTCACTCTCTTGGCCATTTCTAATGAGAATACACCCTAGTGAGCCTAGCCAATCCTCTCTAACTCATCTTGCTTGGTTATTCATCATTTGGTGAGATTGGAGAGCATCAAAGTACATTGCTTTGAGTGATTGCATCTAGAGGCACTTGGTGATTGTGTTTTACTGTGAAATTCGCTTGTTTCTCTTGGTGATTGCCACCACCTAGAAGGCTTGGTGCAGCAAGGATCGTTGAGCGAAGGGTGGTGCTTGTCTTCGGCTCTGATCGTGGTGATTGTGATGGGTTTTTGTGCCTTCCGCATGGGAGATCACCAAAGGCGACTCTAGTGGATTGCTCATAGCTTGTGGATCCCCATCTTGTGTTGGTTGTGCGGCACCCAGTTGGAGATTAGGCGTGTGATGCCTATTAGTGTGTGAACGTCCAAGCGGGTGAATCGCTACAACGGGGACGTAGCTTGCCGACAAGCAAGTGAACCTTGGAGAAAAAATCATTATGTCATCTTGTCTCCAAGGTTTTCATTGATATATTGATTGATTGTCTCTTGCCATGGCGGTATATCCCCTCTACCTCTCTTGTATTTACATTCCTAGAGATATCTTGTGTGGAGGTAGCTAGTGTAGCTTAACTAGTTGAGTATCTTAGTTTAACTAGTTGTAATTAGCTTCTAGTTAGCTCAACTAGAGTAGCAAGTAGAGACATGGCCATTGGGTGCTTAGTGATCATAGATAACTAGAATTGTTGGTAGGTGGCTTGCCTTTTAAATTAGAGCTAGAGCAAAATGCTATTTTGCCTATTAGTGTACTAAACCACTTGCTCCAGTGTATTTGTAGAAATTTTTATAGGCTATTCACCCCTCTCTAGCCATTTAGGACCTATCAATGGCATAACATTTGCATTCGAAGTTATGTCGTTGTTTACTGGCTGTGACTTGTACCGGTACAACATCATACAGTGTCCCATGGTGGGGTATGATGCACACTCTTATGGTGTCCCATGGAGGGGTAAAAGTGCAGAAGAGCCTGTCATTTGCATTACATATGCATTCCTTTCATGTGGTGTGAATTGAATGGAAGCGATGTTAATTTTTCATCGATGTGTGAATCATGTATCGGGGTAACATTGAGATATGATTTTTTTTGGAAGTGAATTTGTTTTGTTCTATCTATCATACATTAAGTTTTAAGTATTAAAATAAGTTGAGGGAGTGGTGGTCTACAAGGTAGAGTATTTAAATTTATATTCGTCTAAGTTTACATTCTGTACATTACATGACTCACTTGAATCATTGGCTAATGAACTTGTGAATTAAATGGCATGTTCAAATAGTTTACTTGTTGGGATTGTTTTCAGTCTCACACACGTTTACTATCTTTCCAGGTACTTGAGTGGCATGCTTTGAAGGGATGGGAGTAGCATAACATCATGCACTTGATATAGTTATCTAAATAATTTGTCTTGAATAATAAAGAATTGCTTGTTTGGTCTTTTTAGAGTTTAATTATATATTACTTCGTTTAGTTTTAAGAGTGGTTTTCTTAATTTCTATTTCTAGCATTCATGGCCATTGTAAGGTCATTCATGTTAGCGTGCTATGTTATATATCCCTTTGATGTTTTCATTATTGCTTCCGTGTTCCCTCAAACAAATATTGCTGAATTTTTTTCAAGTTCTGCTGTGGGAAGTGATGTTAGTGGCATCTCGAACAACTGGGGCATAACATTTCATTAGGTCCTTAATTATCGCACGATAAAGGATATAATGGTTTGGACACGCATGTATTCTTTCCACACACATCATCAATGGAGTGATAAGCTTCTTCGCTTGATATGTGTTGGCCGGCACACGGTTTGGTTTAGGAAGCAGACCAGCCAAGAGAGTCAATAGGTCGTCGAAGCTCCTATCGCACCAGCTATATTTAGCCTTCAAGATCAGTATATCTAGCACAAAACATAGCAACGACCACCTTTTCTCACAACCATTTGTCTCCTCATACAAACATTCTTTCCTTGCCTTCTTTAGTGTCTCCATGTTATTTAGCCCTTTCACAACCTTCAATAGTAATTTAGTTTTTGCATGGCACAACATGTTCTCCAGGGAGTCTTCTTCTTCTTCTTCTTCGTTGTCCTCGCCATCGTACTCCCCACCACAGCCTTTGCCACCCTCACCTTCTGTAGTGTCATCTCTCGTACCATATCATGCATCATGACAAGATGCGCAGCATCATCTTCCCTTACTTCTCATGCAATCACTTCCTGGTTTCTTGGTTCTGTACGTCTCTCACCATGATCACCCCGAATCTTGTAGTTCTCCATGATGAAACGCGCCTTCTTACTAAGTGTTATCATATGAGGATCCTGGCATACTATATGGTTTCGATGGTCATAACAGGGACAATATATATCATTTGTCTGCTTAATCAAAGCGTGTCTTTTAGAGGCTTCAATAAAACCATTCACATCTTATATGTAGGAAGCTTCGTGTCTTCGTTTCTTGTACATCCATGACATGTCCATATGTGGTCTTTGAAAAATTGGTATATTTGCATCAAAATATTATTGGCATATAAATGTTGAAGGAATTGTCTAATTTTTTGTATAAATATTATATTACTAGGTAGCATGCCTGTGCGTTGCTACGGGACAACTAAATCTTTTGTACTAAAAACACACGGATCGCACGATAAGATAACAATACTGTTAAATTAAATACCAACGTTAAAGTGACATTTAATTCAAAAAGCAAAGTTCATGAAATTAACACAGTCATGGAGAGTGCAGCGTTGCAGGCTCACAAACTCTACTGTATAGACTTTTTCGTGATATGGCTAAGATAATATTTTATATCGGCAGAAAGAATTCTCCGATATCTATTTCTTTCATGCGCCAATAAATCCATGAATAAGTTCCGCTGTATCTCCATATAATCCTATACACATAGGTTCGAGTATATATGTAAATATTAGTGCCTGTCACATGGATAATACTGCGTGTCTTAAAAAATCTCTCATAAAATTTTAAAACAAAGTTTGTTATACTTACCGTATAAATATGTGTGGCTTTAGGACTATTCTACACAGACATATATTGTAGAATAAGGTATCCACTTGAGTGTCTGTTCCA